AAAAAAAAAAAAAAAAAAAAAAAAAAAAAAAAGAAAGAGGAAGAAAGGGAAAGAAAATACTAGAAGCCATTAATTTTTCCTATCCCCAAATTAAAACTTCTTTCCCACTTAGTCTGAACATTCATGCTCATTCTGGTAACTATTTTTCTGTCCTACATTTTATTCTGGGTTCTATGAACCTTACAAGGTAGTGTATGATTAGGATCCAAGAGTAGAGTCTTTAAATAAAGTTTAGCTGAGCCATGCTGAATTAAGCAGATCTATTTTAACCTTAGAAATACACCCAAGGCTGAGACACCTGCAAAGCTGGAGGCAGCAGGGGGATCCCAGCCCTGTGGCTTCCTCAGCCACTCCAGGTTTCTGCCTGCCACCAAAGCTGCTCCTTCCCGCCTTCCCGCCTGCTGCTTCTGTGACATCAGTAATGCTCACGGCACTGAACTCAGACTCTGGGTGTCAAACTGCTGCATTTCCCCAGCGGCCCAGAAATTCCACGGTATTTTGCATTTTTTCTCTCCAAAATGAGAGGCCAGGCTGCCTCCGTGTCCTGGCACGGAGTCCACTCGCGTGGATCCCCTGCATGGCTGGGAAACGGAATAGCTGTGCAACAGCGGCCCACTCACTCCCTGGCCCAGTAAAGCAGGTGCCCTGCTGCCACGATAAACAGAGCTCAGCTGCACTGAGGAAGGTGGTTACCGATGGGCCAGGAGTCTCGAGGGTGGAAAGGGGGCGTTCCAGGTTCCAGGTGACTCCCAGCGTGGAGAAGGGTACCCAGGCAGGGCCTGGAGGGGTGGAAACGGCAACAGCACACAGACCTGCATTCAGTTAGCTTTTATGTTTACAACTCATAACCCAGGGGGCCTAAATAAGATTTCACAAGGGCACCGAGGATACAGCTATTAAAAGGTTTTCCCTCTCTCCACATTTTCACTCTAGTACCTAAGACTATACACACATGCAATTAAAAAAAATATGAGCAAAATAAAGAGCTGTCAACGCAGGGTTCTTGAAGAACCCTCATCACTAGACAGCCGTTCCAGTTTCGGTGATCACCAAGCCCAGGGTGGTGTGAGGTGGCAGGCACGGTGGCAGTCGGGTCCCGTGCGGCCCTTGGCTTCCTGTGCTGCAGGGAGGACCTGCAGCCAGGCTCAGACTGCACCGCAACACTGTGGGACCGGGCTCAGCGTCACATCCTCGTACCAGCACCGTGGCCTTTGGCCCTCGCAGAAGGCGGGTCCTACAGCCTGAGCTCCCGCTCTGGCTTCATGCTGAAGGGCTCCAGGCGCTCGCCCTCGGGCAGCAGGCTGTTGAGCCGCTCCATCAGGGGCACTGTCTGGTCGATGCCCATCTGGATGCGGCGCAGGATGGCGGACATCTCGTTGACCTTCTGGATCTGCTCGGCATATTTGGCGTATCTTTTCTGGCGCTCCTGCATGAAGCTAAAGAGAGTTTCTACAGACAGGTCCATCTGCAGAAGGCAAGAAAAGGAAAATACATTACACGTGTTTCCCAAGTCCTCGCAAGGTCACGGTCCAGCAGGAGGTAGTCGCACAGGGCAGGCGAAGGAGCCTGGGGGGTGAGGCTTGCATGACGGCATCTGGGATGGGGAGCAAGGGGAGGTGCCAAGGGGGTGGCAGTGATCAAGAGAGTCACATGCACTGCCCGCCCCCTGCAGAAACATCACTGTTCTGCAGTGCAGACTCGCACTAGAAAACAAAAAGCCAAACAGCAGCAAAAAAAACTCCAACTGCTCCCACTTCTGTGCTCGGGAGCCAGAGCTATTCACGCCTTACACCGGTGAGACCCAGAGGTCCTACACAAAAGCATCCTGGGCTTCAGTGGGTCAAAAAGGGCAGGACCTGAACCTGGCTCTGCCCCAGGAGCCACCCTTCCTGCCCCACAGGGCCTCACTGACAAAGCACAGGGGCTCAGCACCAGGCCAGTGCCAGGCCACAGACAACACTCCGCACAGCAGGGCTAGAGAACCTGTCACCTGGTGACACGGCAGCCAGGGCGGTATCCATGGTGACAACGGTGCAAATGCACCACTGCGCTGGGGCCACCCAAAGGTGCAGCACTGACCGCTACACACAGCTCACTATACTTGGTAACAGTTCATGCTGCGTCATGCCCACAATACTGTGTAGTACCACTCAGTCTCTACCACTGCTTTACAATGGGTCCCTTCTACTTATTTCTTTAAAACTCAACCGGGAAGAGCCATGGGCAGGTCCCTCAGGAGGGCTTCCAGAGGGCAGCCCCATGAGCCCAGGCTGATATAGGGTGGCATGGCGCTGCTAGGCACGTCCTCTGCCACTGACCACACTTCTAGCCCTCTAACCTTTGAACAAAACAGCTTAAAAAGTAAAAACAAGATAACTGAAAAACTGAAGAAAGCCTGCAGAACAAAGAAATGAAGAAAAATTTTTGTACAGCTGTACAATGTATCTGTTTTAAGCTCAGTGTTATTGTAAGAGAGGAAAAGCTTTTTAAAAAACTTAGACGTTGATGGTTCCTGGTGGCCCATGACTATAATCAGAAGGCTTTGAGGACAGCCTGGGTAACTTAATGAGACCTGCCACAAAATAAAAAAATAAAAAGTGCCGCGGATGTAGCTCAGTGGTACAGTGCACCTGCATTTGATCCCTACTACAGCAAAAACAAAACAAACTTTAAAAATACGTAAAAATGTTACAGTAAGCTGAGGTTAATTTATTGTTGAAAACTCTGACAAATGTAGTGCGGCCTCAGGGTGCAGTGTGTGTGAAGCCCAGGGGCCTGTGCACCCCACTCCGCCCGCTCCCCATGCTGGGACTGAACCACCACTTTCATACAGTTTTCATGTGGAGATCAGGCCTCCCTCTCTCCCTCCCTCCTCCCCTGTGGGGCTGCAGCAGAGATGGTGGAGGGGATGGCACTCTCCCCGCCAGGGCCCAAAATATCAAGCAGCAGCCACAGCTGTGGCCCACAGGGGACCACACCACTGGGGTCAGCTGTGAGGACTGCTCCGTGAGCCTCCCCACCAGGCAACCCCGTGACCTGCGGGCCCGCTCCGTGCCTCTGCTCAGCCCGGAAGGACCACATCTACAACAGTGCTGAAGGTGACCACAACCTCTCCTCCTGTGTCCTGCTCAGCCACCCTTCCCATCCAGCTGTCCAGGGTCCCAAAGCCACGTCCAAGGAAACATCATCAGTTTTGTGTTCCTCTTGGGGCAGTGAGGAGGGGAGGTGAGCAAAGCACCTCAGTGCTAATTTCTTCTGGGCTGCTCTGAAACGCCTCGCAGGAAAAGCAGCAGCTAGTGGGAGCGGCAAGCAGGAGCGTCCAAAGGGGCAGATGTGGTCAGAGGTCCTCTGCCGCCCAACCAGTGCCCCCCAGGGCAGTGGCAGCGAGACCCTGCATGCCCCTGGCTCCAAGCCCACAGGAGGCGGCCCAAGGGTCCCACGTGCCGCCTCTGGTCAGTCCCCAAGCCCACACACCCTCACAGCTCTTACCGCCTCCAGCGGCACAGCTCAAGCTCGTGTTTCATCTGTGTCCAAAGCCAGGTAAGTTCAAGGCACAGGCGAGCACACCATTCCAAGCATGCTGTTCACACAAGCTTACGCCACACCTCTCCACAGCTAATTCCAGCAGAGTGCACGGGAGAATAAGGCCACCGGAGAGGAAAGACTCACAGCGACAGAGGCAACAGAGCCCAGATCTCCTAAGTGTGGCCTCTTCCTTTCATGTGCATTTCCCAAGGGAGCGACATGGACCACTGGTGGTGTGGGCATGGCAGGAAACAATGCTAAGATACACGATGGGAGACTTGTTGCTTTCTAAATTTTTCCCCATTCTTCACTGCAAAGATGCTAACAAGTTGGTGCACACAGCAATTTAATACCTGGAACAGTGTCAAAGTGGTGATGCCAATTTCTGGTCCTTTTGTTCTCAAGGCAACACGGCCTTTGACCCGTAATCCGTCTTTGCTCCCTAACCCCAGGCACACACTTCCTACACTTCCACTGTGTCTGCAGGCAAGAAGCCAGTGTCTAGTGCATTCTGAACTCCCCACTTTGACATACCACAGCATATCCTTCTTTTTCGCCTTTCCTATTTCTATTTTTGGCGCATAGATTCTAACCACTCAGCACATATGCAGTGGTACCTCTGTTCACAAACAGTTTTGTTTGCAAACAGAAGCATTTGGAAAAATTGTTCTTGTTCGTGAACTCTGCATCGGATGAAGAAGACTGCGGCCATCGTTCCCACAGGAACACAAACGTGGCCACTGTCCCCAGAACTATGGGACAAGTTCATGAACCAAGGTACCATGAAACTAGTTGTAGTTGTCTTTATAAAGCAGTATTATGGGGTCATTTAAAGTCCACTCCCCGAATGCTCCTAAGTCATTCACAAGATGGGAGCAGAGCTTAAGACAGGGCAACCTAACCATCTACACCAGCGATGGCGAGCCTTTTAGAGCTTTCAATGACACCAGCAGCCCGCTGAGGTACCTGTGCCATAGGTTCACCACCACTGATCCTTGAGTAGTTACAGGGCAGCCGTGAGTCACTGGCTGAGGTCACAGCTTCTGTCTGACCCCTTGGCTTGAGTGCCATCTTCTATCTGGTAGCCATGTCATGAGGTCGGTGCAGATTCTGCTGGGGCAAGGATTTCGGTGTTTTAAACTCTGCTGTATCCTCAGTACCTAGCAAATGGCAGTCCTGAAAAATGTTTGTCAAATAAATGAAAATGTATCTAAGCCTGTTTCCTCACCTGTAAATGATAGTGGCTACTTCAGGGCTGTTCTGAGCACCGAGAACTGCATGTAGATTGTGTATTACACTGGCCGCAGAATGAGCACACTAACGAGCGCTGTGAACACACAGCAGACTCCATGCCATCATGTGCTGTGCCCTAAGGACACAGACAGTAGGAACCAATACTATTCACATCCCACAGCTTCCTGTGTGTGTTATTGGGACTTTTCTTTTTCACTGGCTCTGTTGACTTCAATATTCCAGGAACCCCGGACTGGCCCAGGGAGGAAAAAGTTGCAAACAACTTTGCTTCAGGAACTTGAAAAAATTAAATAAACCATTTGATTTTCCAATAAACAGTGAAAAACTGTCATGACCATAAGACTGTCACCCAGGGGACACCGTGACTCCCGCAGTTTCCAGTGCCCTCAGCTGGCCGGCATGTGCTCACGCTGCCGTCTCCTTGGTCCCTTGCCCTCCATGCCCACCTGGGGTGTCGATTCAGTCCCTGCAGCCCAGAGCTGGCACTGAAGGGAGTAGGAGGAGCCTGGCTCCCTGGGGGCTCCATGGGTAAGACAGCACCAGGCCTGAATGAAGAATAAACTTGCATTTCATGTGAGGCACTGTAACTTAGGGCCTCTGTAACACTAGTTAAATGAGTGAGACGAAGCCCCTGTCCTGAAGAAATTCAGAGTTTCACTAAACTCGCACTTTAAACCTTGCCCTGTATATTCATACGCCGTCTCCGGTGGCAGTACATTTCAAAGGACAGGTGTAAAATAAAAAGATAACTCTGGGTATTACTGCAGGCTTCCCTAAGGCACCGGTATCTGCAGAATCTGTTCAAGCTCATCACCAATACCTCAAATGTGTGGAATGGGCCTATTCGCCCATCTGCTTCATACACGAGCAAGTCAAATCCAGGAACATACGAAAGGGATACAGCATTATGACTATCTTGAGGAGTTAAGCTTTTTCAGCCTCTGAAAATCAAAGTAACTCACCATTTCAACAGAAAATAGGCACAAATTGTGTATTACAGCAGACGAAGAAAAAACATTCAATAAATTCAATATGCATTCATTTTGAAAAATTTCAGCAAAGGAAACTTTCTTAACCTGATAAAAGGTATCTATAGTTAAGATCATAGTCACTGGTAAAAGACATTCCACTTCCCAAGACCAAGAAAAAGCAAGGAGGTCCATTTCCATTCTCACCGCTTCTGCTCAGTGTTGCAGTAGTGGTCTTGGCCAGAACAACAGATCAATAAAAAGCACAGAAGGTGGAAGGAAAGAGTTAACAGTCTCTTTGCAGATTACATGATGGGATACTTAAAAATCTTAAGGAAACTACCCCAACTCATGACACAGTCAAGTAAATTTAATGAAGTCACAAGATATATGGTGAATATAAAAACTGCATTTCTATATTGCCACGAAAACAGAATAAAGTACAATTTACAATTTTATCAACAATATGGAAGATTCTGGCAATACACAACAAAGTATGTGCAAGGCTTACAAAACACTACTGTGAAAAGTGAAAGAAGAGCTCAACAGTGGAGCAATATATCACATTCAAAGACAGAAAGGTTCAATACTGTTCAGATGTCAGTTCCTCCAAACTGATCAATGAAGCCAACTGCAAGCTGGATAAAAACCCTAAAAGACATTTTTCGTCTTTGTTAAGCTGATTCTATATATGTAGAATATTTTTTAAAATCCTGAAAAAGAACAATTTGAAGACATGTGGGACTTGATTTCAAGGATTATTTAAAGCTACAATAATCACAGTAGTGTGGTATTGGCATAGACACTCACAGATCAATGAAATTGAGCACAGGAAGTAAAATCAGATCTAAACAGGGCCGGGGATTTACCTCAGTGGTGCCACACCTGCCTGGCAAGCTCAAGGTCCTGAGTTTGATCCCAGGTATTAAAAAAAAAAAAAAAACTAATCTAAACATACAGTCATTTGATTTAATCTGATATAAAGGTCTCAAGATAATTCAATGGGAAAAAGAAAAATTTTCAACAATTCTGGCTAGGGTAACTACTTAACGATATGTGACAAAAATGAAACAAGACTCCCACATTTCATGCCACAAAGAACAAAGATCAAAGTATGTTATATACCTATATTAAAAAGTCAGGGAGGGGCCGGGGATTTAGCTCAGCAGTTCGGTAGCCTGCCTTGCAAGTGCAAGGACCCGAGTTCAATCCCCGGTACCAAAAAAAAAAAAAAAAAAAAAAAAAAAAAA